CTCATTTCAGAGAATGTAACTTCAACTAGAAATTTTTGATACCCTAGGCTTGTAGTGTCAGTTAATATGTTAAGCCCATATACCTTATTCTAGCTTTCGGACAGCCCAATCTAGTCATTCTACTTGAGTCAAATTTTGACCTTGTTAATTATCCGCTTATCAATCTTAACTGTTTTTATATGAGCGCATATGTGTGTATAAATTTCTTATCCCATTCATCACATGTCTGTAACTTATTTTTGTGTGACTTTAAATATTGATTAACGCTTGGTTAAATGGGAGTTAGCTTACCCGCCATCTCCATTGCGCGTCGTTTCTCTTCGCTCTATTCCATACGCTTCACATACAAAATATATGTATTCAAAAGTCCATTCTCGTTATCTGACTTATTTAATTCCTTTATTGACTAACGCGATTTAAGTCGATGATTATATACGAGGATAGGCGACAGGTGTATTTCAATAACAATCATTCATATGATCGAATTGGAGTCAGGACTCCGGCCACTAAAGTGGAGAGCCCGTCGACAACTTCATCCAATCTAAATGGCGACAAAATAAAGGGCCCCACAAAAGTCTAATCAGACAGTCAGTCAGTCAGCTGCAACTTAGGACCAGACAGATATATGCATCGGTCCAAGTTGCTATACCGCATTAGCACAACAAAATGATCACCGGATTCATAGTAGTAGTCACATCAAAGGTATTAGTATATAAAAGAAAGATTGTTTATAAGGATACAATACAGGAAGAAAGAATTAGTTCGTAGAAAGAAAGACATGAAGCGATTTTAATCTCTTAGTTTAAGGAAAGACAGCGAGTGTATACACCTACGCCATTGTGATCGATTCTGAGCCATGTCACCAAGAGTCTCCAACCATTGGTTACGATAGTCACGCGGATCCCAACCAAGTAGTCTGCATCTACCAACATGGCTCAAACCAGAAGTTAGTGTCTTCAAGCACTGATGCCACGTTTTGATTTGGCTGCCCCTAACTTTCTTCCAATTGTCCCTAACACCGGTTAGTATTGCGCGTCGTGGTAATCGGTGTTCAGGCATGCGCAACACGTGGCCCAAACATCTCGGTCGATGAAGATTCATAACCTCATCAACTGATTTACCATCATTCCTTAATACTCTGTGTCTAACCTCACTATTACTTACCCGGTGATCCCAGCAGATACCCGCAATATTTCTAAGGCACATGTGGTCAATACTAGTAACTTACGAGTATCTTCTACTCTTAAAGGCCATGTTTCGCAGCCGTATAGTAGAACGGAACGAACTGCCGTACAGTATACTTGTCCCTTAATTGATAGACGGATATCTCGCCTTCTCCATAGGTGACGTAAGTTGGCAAAGGCCAAACGAGCTTTTCGAATCCGTGATGAGATTTCGTCAGACGCCAACCCATTAGGGCTGATCAGACTTCCAAGATAAGTAAAGTTGTTAACGCGTTCGACTACTTCACTCCCTATCCTTAATTTAGGTGTTGACACAGGCCAGTCCTGAAGCAACAAATTGTATTTAGAGAGGGAGGAACGCATTCCAAACATTCTGGCATTGATGCTCAGTGCTACCAAAAGACTCTGCATTTCATCAGCGTCTTCACTAAACAGGACTATGTCATCTGCTTATTCAAGTCGATAAGTGGACCTCCTGGTAGGAGACCAATACCCAAGAATTCAGTCGATGAGAGCGTTATTTCCATCAATAGATCTATGATGACGTTAAACAAAAATGGAGAAAGCGGACAGCCTTGGCGGACGCCACTTGAGGTTGCAAAAGCAGATGACAGTTCGCCATAAGCTCTGACTCGACTAGTAATGTTCGAGTAAAGAGCCTTCACAAGGTTTATGTACTTCTGAGGTGCGCCTTTCAATGACAGACACTGCCACAGAACCTCTCGGTTTACAGAGTCAAATGCTAATTTTAAGTTAAGAAAGACCACCATTGTCGGACGCCGATAAGTATGCCTGTGTTCAAGAACCTGACGAATGGTGAATATGTGGTTGATGCAGCCACGACCAGGTCTGAAGCCAGCCTGATTTTCTCGTGTTTGCAGTTCACGAGTCTTAGTTAGGCGTTCGATACTATATTAGTTAAACTAATCCTTCTATGGTTGTCACAGGATGATTTTGACCCTTTCTTATATATTGGGACGATAAGTGATTGTGACCAGTCAGAGGGGATTATGTCCAACTCCCAGATTTTAGCTAAAATATTAGTCAACCTAGTCGCGAAAATTCGACCAACTTCCTTAAAGACCTCTGGAGCCAATTCATCTGGACCAGCTGCCCTTCCTCATTTTAGATTAACTATAGACCTTTGAACTTCGGCTAGAGTTGGAGGACCTACTTCAATGTTCCATTCACACTCTCTGGGAATGGTGGATAGTTGTAAAGTAGCTGAAGGCCAACTGAACTGCTCCTTAAAGTGTTCCGGCCATCGTTCTAAACGTCTGAACTGGGAGCAGATAAGAACGTCGTCTTTTTCCGAGATCGTCTCACAATTAACTTCTTAATTCCGGTTTCTTCTATTATTCTGAAGAGCTGTCTAGTGTTACATATAATGGCTGTCTTTTCCATCTCTTTTGCTTTCGTTAGCCACCACTGCTGACGGACTTTTGGTTAACCTAGATCTGATTTCTTTTCGTTCTTCATCGTAGTCGGAGCCCGGTGGGATGAGTTTACGAGTTTATCAGTGTAATAGACGCAGCAGAAATCCACTAGTTCTTCCTAACCTTTTGGTTTAAATCACTAATAGATGTCACTGCTGTTTTTACGACTGTTCGTATATCTTTCTAAGCAACATCTGGGTCAACCTCGTTTTCCGAACTACCTAGGTGTGACCTCAGTTGTCCCTTAAATCTACTTTTGGTTTTCTCGTCACTGAATCCAACTCTAATCGGTTTTCTTAATGTGGCTTTTCTGAGCCCACGTAGATGCAAGCAAACGCATGCTCGTATTAGGGCATGCTAGGAGTCCAAGCAGGTACTCCAGAATGAGCGACAATCTTCTATCGACTCTCTCCCTCATGCTTAGTGCTATCCCTACACCTGCCAGTCCACGAGAACTAGCTGTCAAGTCGCCAGATACGCGGAGGGTCTATCTCGTCGGCTCTCCGTGTCGCCGAGACGAGGTCAAGTGAATGACCACACTAGGATCCTGTATGCGTGTTTCGGGGACACAGCATACATCAATTGTACGAGATTCTAGGGTTTTAGCCAAGGATGCCTGCTGACCGATTTGACATAGTGTGCGTACGTTGAAGGCTCCAATGTGTAGTTTGGAGCGAGGTTTCAGTAGACCTGGGACAGCGTTTTCCGCACTTGAATCGTTGACTATGGCGATACTTGGGGAGGAGACCAAAGGAGGAAGTTTAGGTTTGAAAGTCGATGTAGGAGGAATAATAGGAATTGAAGAGGGAGGTTGATTATGAATACAGTGGTTTTGAGTGTTGTTAGAGGTATGAGGGCAGTTATCACTTCCCGATTTCCCACACCGTGGAAGGGTTCTTCTGGAGGTACCTGAAAAGAAAATTGGGTTAGAGTTGGTCTTAGTGATTTGAGAGTGTGACTGTAGCGTCCAAGGGACAACTGCTTGAGGTCGGTTACATACGGCCTTTTTGTGAGTACTTCACGTGCTAGCTTCACACCTGTTGTAACCTTACCACCAGAGACGGAAATCCATGAGATAAGATGAGGTATGTATTTTGAGGGTCGATCTTTTCTAACCCCAACACTCCTTGTGGGAAGGCAGCATCGTTATCATGCTGGTTGTCTGAAGGAAACACCTTACTGCTGTCACACCTCTGTACAATCAGCAGTACGATTTCGCCTTCGGACCTTGGAGTTTTTGCTTTTAGTCTTACCGCTCTCCAACCGAACTGTCTGGCATGGTAGGACCTTGAGGAACGGTTGTTCCAGCCAGTGTAGCTCAGTTGTTTCATCACAATAGGCAAGACCGACCACCACGTCAAGATAGCAACAACGGTCGGGTCAGACAGAAACCAAATTAAAAGTGATGGTTGCTGATGAGCACAGTTTATAAAAGCCAATGTTTGGCCTCACTTCCTAAGGAAATAGATACACGTTACTGATTGAAAATGCGGCATCATTTCCAAAAAGATGAGTATCTATATTGACGATTGCATTGTCACATATATTTGATTCACTGAGCCAATAAAAGGTTACCGCTTATTTTTTGTTCAAGACCTTTTCCACTGTGACTGGTAGCATGGTCCCATGCTTTATTATATTATCTTTAGTATTTTACTGACCGATTTGAATGGTATTTTTAAATCGCTTTATTTTCGTACCCTAAAATGATGTACTCCTTTTCGATTTTCTAGTAAATTTTTTAGAATTTTTGTGTAATAAATACATTCAGAAGGGTTTTTGCGGAGATTTTAATACTTTTATAATTGAATTCATGAGTCGATTGAAGCTTGACCACAATGGAAAACCTGAAAGCAATGGAAGATTGTTTCATCCTTCACAGCAGTACACATTCACGATCCTGCCCTGCGAGATTCCAACCCAGGATCTATCAGTCTTGCGCGCGGACGCTTAAACTCTAGACAACTGAGCCGGCATCCAACGGTGCTAATGTCTAACTTCAACTAATTCACGAAATTGAGCGACACATCCACTATTGCCTTTAGAGTGTCACTATCGCACTAGAACCTCAGGAGTATCTCTTGATTCAGTCACTAGTGAGCATATGTTGATTAATATCAGAAGGGGTTTTGTGGATGTGGGATCGTGGATGCGCACTGCTAAGGGGTCCCATAATAGAACGAAACGACCGTCCGGTGCTTCCAGGTTTTCCATCGTGGTCTAGCTTCAAGTGACCCATGACCTCAACTATTAAAATATATTCAATCAAATGCAACAACATCAAAGATATAACAGAATAAGAGAATTTATTTACATGTCATCATTTACTTCAATTAAAAAAATGATAATTCATAAACAGCTTAAATGTTATAATACTATTTTAATAATGATTCAAATTATGCTGGCAATAATGATATACTGTTGACTGAGATGTTCTCTGATGTTGACAATTAATTATTGTTGGTTCGAAATAAGTTTTTAGTTGATTGGATAATTCACTGTGAGAATGATTATTATTATTATTATTATTATTATTATTATTCAATATTTGTTTGTGATTAGTTTCATTTATCATATACATGTTCATATGATTTACATCAGTTCCATTGGAATCAACAAAATGATCCATACTATCTTCAGGAAATCGGTGATCACAAGATAATAAAGATGACAAATTATTATATGAAGAAATATAAGGTGGAAAATTTGAGTTTTTAAACATTGAATAGTCTTTTTTATTTAATAATTCTTCATTAAATGTTAGTGAATTTGACCAGTCTTTTATAGGACTATTATTCATCATTATTTGTTTTATATTATGGTTATTCAATTGATGTTTAGTATTACTATTCTTAAATACCTCTAAATCTATTGAATTACTGGTATTGTTTATAGTATTATAATTAGTTGAATCAATAAAAGTTGATATGTTAACTGGAGAAGGCATAGTAGATAGGAGGTTATTTAATAAGTTATTTGAGTAAGTAGTCGATTTTAATCGTGTTGTTTGATAATAATTGAATGGTTCTTGTTGATTAATATTCATTGAATGATGAGGATACCAGAAGTGGGAATTTTCATAATATGGATGACAAAAACTAAAATGAATAAATAAATAAAGTAAATATTGAGTAAGAACAAGAATACTATAGAAATATTTAACAGAATTGTCTATTAAACATTGAATTAAAGAAGACATCGAGATTATAATTCATCTAGGTTCATCGGTTAACCTGGGTATTAAGTGGCTCTTTAACTACAAAGATGAAATGAACATATCTAATTTATAACTGTATATTATAAAAGTAATTCAAACTAAACTAGTAAAAATCGATGCGTAATACAATAGAAGTTGTTAATTTTGATCTAAATAATTGATAAGACAATTAAGTAATGAGAAGACATTCTAAAATCAAAAACATGAGATTTGTCCAAAATACGGAATTATTGTTTGTGGAAATCTTAGCAACCGATTTATAAGACTCAATTTTTGAGGTATACAAGGCGTTTACCACAACAATTTACCATCATACAATGAGTTATTTGTATAATAGTTATATTCGAATTATTACAAAGCATACAATACACTGCGTAATAGTTGATAGCTTTGTGAAGATTTCAATGGTGGACAACAGTCGAAACAAGAATTACTAACATAAACATACGAACTGTTACAGGCAAATAACAATTCAATGAATATATAATACATAAAGTAACTGCTGAATTTTTTAAGAAAATACAACTATAATAATAAATAAGCTGAAAGACAAAAGTTGATGTACTTATAGTGCACAACTAAAAGACGCTATACTCTGTAGGCTAAAAATAATTGATAATGACATTAATTACTTAATATAAGTAACATAATCCCAATCTCATAAAAAAGAAATTGATATAATGGGAAGAAAAGTCAAAATTCGATTGATTTACTAACTATGAGTTTTATTCAACATTACTTCCTTTCTGATTCAATGTTATCATTCAGTGTAGTAATTGTTTCCTTTTCTGTATAATATACAATATTCTTGTATTTAATTGACATGAACTATGCTCTATATGTGATTTGTTATAACTCGAAATATTTTTCATTTATGCGATTTCATCCTAATTAATAATCAAAGTTTCTGTACAATCAATATATAAACGAGTGTGTTTTTAACTAAGGTCGTCGTCGTCGTGTTTTGCGGTCAATAAATCTTCACTTGTACCTGTCTTTGTATTCTTACTTTCGCGTCGTGGGAATTGCGGAGGTTCCTCGTTTCGAGTATAAGTGATAAGAGTTTCCGACACAACAATCAGCGACGACCAGATATAACAAGTAGCATTCAATTGACAAGTTATGACAGAAATGAAGATAAAAGTTATAAACAGAAAAAAGAGTGGAATTTTGTCTAAAAACATATGGTGAATATTTCCCCATTAATGTTATGAGTTCATACTATGTCACGAATCATTCTAAGTTCATGATTGTCTCAAGCTATTTCATTATAAGAAATTACATTACCCAAAACAACCTTTATAAATTCACGTCAACTTCATGTAATCAAGAAGTGTGTTGTATAAGTTTATCTAGGATTTCTTCAGTTTCTGCTTACATTATATTTAATGACTTCATAACTGATATTTAGATAGTATGATACCAAGAATCTATTTAATAATTTACATTCTCTCAATGAAACTATGTATAAAACATTAATTATTTCGAAAACATGATCGGTGATCAAATGATTCTTGTAATCCATCATATTTAGGTCTGTCAAATCGAAACAAGTAATTAGTTGCCACTATTAGTGACATAAACCAAACTTAAGCGTTCACTGTTACTGAAAATACAAATAAACATCTTTTTAAACTTATGATTTGACTAAATTTACATAATTCAATTGATCCACATTGATTCTAGTGAATAAAATACTTTACGTTTTTAGTCCATCTATTTAAACCTAATAATCATTACCGTTAATATATGGATAGAATTTCAATGAAATTATATGTAATGTATATACTTGGAAGTAGTTCAAGATGAGAATTATTTGAACAATATAAAAATCAAAGATTTTCTACACTAATGGTTAAAATAACTACATGTTAAACATGATCAGAAAGATTTGGATATTGTTTTCAAATTACAATATATATATATATATGGATTCTAGGTAGGCAATAAATATGTATGATAAAGTTCTATAGTTAGATTAGATAGAATTTACCGATCGAATGTAATCAGATTGGATATGATAATCATTTAAATTATATGGTCCTTTACAAGTCATTTTGTTGAGGATACTCAATCTTCTATGGGCAAAAATCATAGAAGGATTTTATTCCATTGATTTCCTATATGTTTTCATTTTTTCATTGTTTTATTCAGTATGAAGTTGAATGATAGATTTTTTCACTGTGTTTTCACGATATCTATTAAACGCTCTGTAATTTTGTGCCAAGTGACTGTTCAATGATCTCTTAGTTCTTTTTATTAACTCTCTATCTGGCGACATTTCATGACATAAATTGTCATTAAAATTATACAAATCTATGTACTAGTAAATTAAGTAATTATTAATACATCATTAAGACTTATTTCGTCTATGAATCTCGACTATGAAGAAACTTTTATGGACAAATTCATATACCTTGTAGTAATCACTGTGTAGAGCATAAATAATTTATTGATACGTACATGCTACTGATGTCATGAGATGTAAAAGATTATAAACAACAATAACTTAGTTATCTTCATCATTCTACTTCCTTGTTACAGTATATTGAATAAAAAGTTGTATGACCTACACTTCAATTTATGACCATTTCATTAATATCAAAGTCAGCGACTGTATATTAGATGTTTTATCATAGAGTAAATTTGTTGTAATCATAGATATTTAACATTGTTTAGTGATATGAAAAAAGCGAATTAACTAAAGATTATTTTTTGATTGAGATAATGAATCGATTGATGTTAGACCACCATCGTCCTAGTATGGAACTCCTCAGCAGTGCGCATCCACGATCCCGTACGCGGAATTCGAACCTAGGACCCTCGATCTCGCACGTGATCGCTTAACCTCTGCAAACACGCAGTAATCAGTCATTTGCATGATTATTTACAGTAACGCATCACTGGAATATAATGCACTCTACTTTGTGAAATTCATTGTTACACCAAATCTACAAATCGTGAATGAAATGTTATGTATCGTGTAAAAAACTGAATTTTTGATCGGAGTTGCTAACGTACATTCAGTAGATTGTTCTGAAAGATGTATTTATCAACATTGTAGATTTATTTGACAAATCTTACTAAAAACTCACCAAACTTATACAATGCTTCACTTAATCTATCAAGAGATTTCACTGAACACTTATCGCTTGATCACACTTCTAATCAATTAAAAATACACTCGTAAACTGAAGGAAATGATAATTTTCTTCAAAAAATGACATTATTCCAAAAATTGATCAAATCTTAGTATTCTGTATTAGGTCAAATAGTAATAAGCAATATGTGCATGTCTGCATCGATTCAAGTTGTCACATCACATTAGCACTGTGAGATGGCGGAGTAGTATATGTAGTAATACTATTAGTATTAGCATAGTAGATGTTGTTTGAGAAGAAAATATGGATTCGTGAAATTGAATTATGATTAAAAGACTTAGAATCTATGAGAAGAAAAACAGCAGATGCATCTGACCCATTGCGGATGAAACGGAGTCATGTCAACCAAAATCTTGAGCCATTTGTCATGGTAATCTCCAAGACCCGAAACAGGCAACCTGTACCTATCCATATGTCTGAGTCTAACAGTCAATAGCTTCATGGATTAATATCACATTTCATTTGTTCACTCCTAGTATACTTTTAACCTACTATTACACCAAAAATCATCTAGTGTCTCCTCGCCCGATGAAAATTTACTAATTCATCAAACAATTTACCACCTTCACCTTGGAATCTTCGTTTAACCTCAGAATTGCTTAATTAGTAGTATCAAAACACACCATAATGATTAGAGGGGTCTGTTTTTAAAGGCCATGTTTCACACTCATAAAGCAGAACAAAGCATGGTATACCCGTCTTTTAGTTGGTACAAGGAAATCTCGCCTACGCCACAAGTGATGTAGGTTGGTATGATCAGCCATACTTTGTACCAAGATTTTGTCGTTTATAAATCCACCAGAAATGATGAAACTTCTAAGATGGGTGAACACGTTGATGTACCCAATTATTTCACTCCCTATCGTTGATTTTGATCTTGACTTAGACCAATTCTGAACAACATTGTGCATTTAGAGGAAGTGAAACATATCCGAAAAAGACTTGCATTGTTTTTGAATGCTAAAATAGAATAACTTAACAGTACACACTCGCCACCTTATATAAAACATGACTCATGACTAACATTTCTCTGAATGATATCATTTAAACAGTGAGATTTTATTCAACAATTTAAATATTCTTTTTTTCAAACAGTACATTAGAGAAGTGGATGGGAAAAGAAGAGAGACTTACTCATATTTGCCTTTTTCAATACATTCTTTTTTCTGTTTCATTCGTCTATTTTGAAACCAAATTTTAATTTGACGTTCAGTTAAACCAAGTTGTTCAGCTAATTCTAATCGTCTCGGTTGCCCTAAATAATTGGAATAATGAAATTCTTTTTCTAATTCAATTAATTGTAAATTTGTATAAGCTGATCTAGGTCGTTTATTTGTTGAACTAACAACCACTGCCACAGATAATGATGACGATGATGATGATGACGTTGTTGTTAATGGTATAGCACAAGTTATTGATTCTTTAGATGAAAATTCCACCTTTTTTGTAGTAGTCACGAAATTATTAATTTGTTCATTTCTGATTATTAATTGATTATTTAGCGGTGATATGTTATTGTTAACACTTAAACCAGAATCATCATTGTTACTAACATGTTCAATAGACTTTTGATATATTGGAGATTTCAAATGTCCTTAAGAGAATTGAAAAAGAAAATACTATTCAATGCATATTAACATAAACGTACTTAAATATTAGTTTGAAATGAAGTTTAAATTGATATTCGATAAGTTTATAATTCACTGTACTTTGAAGATTTGTGACTTTACTTCATTTAGCGAGTTTAGTTGGAAGACCGTTTGAAAGTCAGGAATCGTTAGACAGCTTTTCCCTAAAGTTCTGGTGACCGGTGGCGTTCAGACAATGCAGAAGTGAAACAGTTGTCACTAATGGCATTAGATAATCGATCAGCTATACAAGAAATTATTTTAACTTTTAGACACCAAACAATTGAATAACGTGTAATAAACAGTTGTATGTTGAAATAGTTCTCGTCATGGATTAACGTCAGCTTGTGAATCATTGAAAACCAAGGAACGCAATAAACTTTTCGTTTTAGGGTAAAACTTTACAACAGTACATATTAACGATTCCATCGAGTAGAGTGCGATAAACCTATCCTTTTTTTACTACAGCTAAAAAAATACCGGAGTAAGATTAAACAATCATATGATTCCTCCTGATTTTCAACGATTCACCAATTAAAATCAGTTTAGAATGAAAACTGACTGCAAATTGGACTTATCTCCATAATAAGTTATGGTTAATTTATAGGAGCACTAAGTGATATACATAGTTTAATTTTGAAGTGGTACTCATCAAAAAACTTCTCTTCAGTTGTGGTACAAATGAAAACCAGTGAGCAGAGAATATATTTCTCGTCCTGGTATATATATAGATATATACTTTTCTTATCGCTTACAACACCTCAGAACAAATCACAATTTATATGACAGTTTAACGGATGAGCTAATTTGGAGTGAAATGAATTTATTCAATTTATTTAATCAAAAATAATTCATATAACCAATGTTCCAATAAATTGACCAGTTAGTTATATTGTAATTATTTATTTTTTTTTTTTCAAAGAAATTTCAATCATTTTTATAGGAATCAATAATGGTTTTACACATCTACATTATTCAGTTATTCGAACCATTTTTCTTCTATTGTTTTTTCTTTTCACACACTTGATTTTGCACACTGAGAATCGTTTCCCAAACCTACCTCTCCCTCTCTCCCATGTTCCCTACATTTTGAATCACTATTCCTGTTTCCAACCCCGCCTACTGAACATCAAGTGAACTCCCTCCTCTTGTATTGTCAACATTAACATCGTCAATTTATTTTACGAAAATTAATTTATCAATAAACCAATTGTAATTGTTTCTGTTTCAATCTACTTTTTTATTTTGACAGTTAAAAATATTTCAGAAAATAAGTTAGAATTTGATCACAGTAAAAATATGAAAATATTTTTATAAAATTCTCATTATATCACTTTCTAAATTTTAGTCCTTACTTTTATATCCTCTTTTTCTGACCATTTTGATTCGATTGCATACATACACACATATATAAACATATTCATATATAACTATACATACAAACCATCAGTTTTTCTGTAGATTATACAAAATGACAGATTTTACTGTTCTATATACAACAACTAACCCATTTCTAACCATTTCAAACATTTTCTGCTTAAGGCAATTTTAAATTTTATAAGTATACTCATAGATATTTGGACCCATATTCAAGGTAATGTTTATCACTACATAGTAAATATATATAACAAATGAAGGGTGATATACTTATACAAAATGAAATAGACTGTGGTAGCTTGTATCCGTCAGTATTTGAAGTAATATATATATATATATATATATATATATATATATATATATATATATATATATATATATATATATATATATATATATATATATATATATATATGAACTTGCTTTGGGGTATATATATAAATGTATGTTCATCTGTGGATGTGCATATATCAGTTTGAACAGAGAAGGCAAGCAAAATCATTTAATTTAATAAACCCTATAATTATCTACACTTGACTGCAAATTTATAAATGATGATAACTATTTGTAATAACGGACATTGATACTTATACTGATTATCATAATTTAATCGAAAAAAATGAAGTTTTTTACAACAATCAAAAAATAATCAACTGTAACAAACATTTAAATTGAATAGAAGATAGAAAGAAAGGGCTTATCATTTAAATATATCTTCTCAAGTGTTATACAACAATGACCCATATATGTATACTCAATTCTTTATGATGTACATGGAGATAAAAACTTTTTCTTGTAAAAAGAACAGACATTTATAAGAATCAATAATCCGTATAAATTTACAAAAGTATAATTTAGATATATCCGATATCAAGTTAACTTATCAGGTTTTCACAATTCCGCATTACATAAGATAACATTCATCGTTTAATTTTCATAATTTGACATGACTTTGGGTATTGTGACTTCCTGAACATTGAATTAATATAAACAAATAAGCTTAGAACTTTTAGGTATTCATACAATTTAGTGCATATTTATGAACATTGGTTCGTGTTATTTTTACATTTTTTTCACTGAACCAATCTCATTGGAATTGTTGTCAGACACATTTTATTAGGATTTTTCTTATTCTATATATATTCTGGAAAGTTATTTTGTCCTAGTATAAAACAACTCAGTAGAGCGCATTCATGATCAGGCAAGTGGACTCATGATTTCTACATCACTGACTTGGTACCCAATAGTGTTAATGTTTAACTTCAATTAATCCATTGGTAAGTTGTTTGTAATTAATAGATAAAGAATACAATGAAATTATTCAATCATTTAGAGAAATTATATAAAACAAAATTAACCATAATAATTTGAAACATATTGTTTGATAACATACAAATGAAATACCTAAATCAATTCACTTTGAACTATTTGAACAGTTATACTAATATTAATTTCTGAATGAAGACAAACTAAAATCTACACTGAAAAATAATCATTTCATCATGTGATCGATTGTGAAACCATAATTTTTAAATCAATCTATTCAACAACTATTTAGTTCAATTTATACATTTAAAAAAATATATTTAATTAATTTTTCTAAATTATACAATTCAGCCAAGTTTAATTGACTAGAAATTTTATCATATTCTAGATTATTCTTTGAATCCTTTCTCTTTAAAAAATAACACCCACAATAGTTTGTCTAAATTTAAATTCATAGAAATTCATTTACTATTGAACAATTAGTAATGAAACTATTAAATGTAGTTTTATTAAACAGTTAATTGTTTTGTTTCTTGTTTCTTTTCTTGTTTTTTTTTTGAAAAATAATTAACTGGATATTATGCTAATTTAGGTCAGTATACATTTTTTAGAACTAATTATCTTATTAACAAACATTGTTAATGTAAAATTGTTTTATTGTTGATACAAATTGTTGATACCATTGAAGAATTTATCGATTTTTATTAAATCTATTCATCTGAATGAGAAATAATGTATATTCTAAATAGTTTATCTAATAAATGAGAAGTTTTAAAATAAAAAACAAAATTAGTTTTATCTTTTTTTAAAAAAAAATTGATCAAGAACATATGATATACATTTGAAGGTAATCAACAATAAAGGAATCTTATTTTATTTAAACAACAAACTTGTTGACACTTGCTAATTTCAAGTTCATATTATATATATATATATGAGGATTTGTGGCGAATGTAGTATTTTCACAGTTGAATTTACAAATCGATCTAATCTAGACCACCACTGAAAACCCATTTTGTTTTGTTCTAGTATGAGATCCCTCAGCAATGGGAATTCACGATTCCACGCGCAGGACTCGAACCCAGGACCTTCCGTTTCGTGCATGAACGCTTAATTTATAGACCATTGAGTCGGCACCCAGCGGTGTTAGCGCCTAACTTCAATCAACCTTTGATCTCACGCATAAATAGATTTATATATGATTGTAAATAAAGTCTACTACAATTAATACATATTCTTTACAAAATTAAAACACTACAGTTATATCCATTTATTATAAAACAGTGTTTAAATATTTGAGTTCATTAAAATATGTGATCTGTTTTGAACCATTTATCTTCAACAAACATTTTTAATATTTAACTTTTTCTAATTCATTTTTAACAATATAATTATTTATGCTTAATTATATCGGAGCGATAACAATTAAGAAACTCTTAAGAAGTTAGTAAGTTTATGCAATTACAGGTTATGTTTTTTGGCAAGACGATGATGTTGACAGAATGAACAATGATCAGTCTAAATTTTCTTATCTTAACTATTCAGCAATTTTTACTGTTATTTAAGAGTTAATAGTTTAATTTTTAAAAATGTATTGTATTATATTTCATGATATTAATTTGTGATGCAATTTAATATAAAAGTTTCTATTATTAGTCAAGTTTTCCAGTTTCAGCATAGAAATTATATATGTAGTAGACATTACATTTCGTTCTCGGGGACTGGTTTCTCGGGAATTAATCTTCTAGTAGGAGCTCCACCTATTGACTTAAAAAAAGCAGATGATATAGTCCTGTTTGGTGAAGATGCGGACAAAATGCTATCTTTTCGGTAGTTTTGAGTAACAATGCCAGGATATTTGGAATGCGTTCCTCCCTCTCTAAGTGCAAGTTGTTGCTTCAGGACTGGCCTGTGTCAACACCTAAATTAAGGATAGGGAGTGAAGTAGTCGAACGCGTCGACAACTTCACTTATCTTGGAAGTCTGATCAGCCCTAATGGCTTGGCGTCTGACGAAATCTCTTCATTGATTCAAAAAGCTCGTTTGGCCTTTGCCAACTTACGTCACCTATGGCGAAGGCGAGATATCCATCTATCAATTAAGCGATGATGAGTATACTGTGCGGCAGTTTGTTCTGATCTACTTTACAACTGCGAAACGTGGCCATTAAAAGTCGAAGATACTCGTAAGCTACTAGTATTTAACCACATATGCCAGGATCACCGGATAAGTAATAGTGAAATTAGACGCAGGGTATTAGGGAGTGATGACGAGTCAGTTGTTGAGGTTGTGAAAAAAATGAGGCGGCCAAACCAAAACATGGCATCAATCCATAAAGTCACTAACTTCTGATCTGAGCCATGTTGGTAAGTACAGTCTACTTAGTTGAGGCCCGCCTGTATTCGAATGATTCATATTGTCTTGGTTCAGGATGAAATAGCAGTCTGAGGCTTCAAGATTTTCTATAATTGTTTAGCTGAAATCAGTTCATGATATAAATTGCAACCTAAAAATATCTACAAAACTATTAGGCTAACAACATTCATAATCTAATCTATTTAATATTGGTTTTAATGCTTGTAGAGCTGATTAAAGAAAACCTAATTTAGGTTCGAATCTGGCGGGGGGGGGCGCGGGATCATGGATGCGCACTACTGAAAAGTCCCATACTAGGGCGAAACGGCCGTCCATTGATTCCAGTTTTTCCATGATGGTATCGCTTCAAATGACTCATGTTTTCAACTATTCAATAATTTCCGTTTATATTTCTATCTTTTGTATTTTATCTAATTTAGACATTTCCTATTATTGATTATTGAACAATTTGCTTCTAAATCTTAATTTTGATTTCCTAATGTTCATACACATTATTCATTGATGATCATTCATTAAATTAAATTATATTTTCTGCTCAACCTAAGTTGTACTGTTTCTCATTGACTAAGTTACAACTGTGAAGCTGTTGTACTATTCCCCATTTATTCTTTTAATAGGCTGAAACTTTTAGGTATATATTACGAAACATCATTTTGTAGTTTTAATTTATGAATTCATATAAATTTAACAGTTATTTGGAGTAGAATTTATAATGAATGGGTTTTTTTCAATCGAGGACATGTTATCTCCACTAAGATTGGTCCTTTGATTTCTACTTAGATTTATAACATATTTGACATGTCAGAAGGGGTTTTGTGGCGATTGTAGTAATTTCAATGATTAAGATCATGAGTCAGTTGAAGCTAAATCACCATGGAAAACTTGTAGGCACTGGACGGCCGTTTCGTCCTATTATGAAACTCCTCAGCAGTGCGCATCCACGACATTAACACCGTTGGATGCCGGCTCAGTGGTCTAGTGGTTAAGCGCTCGCGCGCGAAACCAATAGGTCCTGGGCTCGAATCTCGCAGGGGGCGATGTCGTGGATGCGCACTGCTGAGGAATCCCATAATGGGACGAAACGGCCGTCCAGTGCTTCCAGGTTTTCCATGGTGGTCTAGCTTCAACTGACTAATGATCTTAATCATTGATATTTGACATGTTTTGGAGAACTAAGTAAAAACTCAAATGGAGAGAATGTATAAAACGAAACACTGAATAAAATACACTTCACTTAAGTTATTTTATATTTATTAACACACCTAACTGATTAACATTGAGAATTTAAATTATTTAATATTTATGCAATGAATCAAACACTAACTGGACGTCTAGTTAGAATAATACAATCATGGGATTTTAACTACATACATCAAATACTCACAAATATACACAAACTACACAGAAACAAAGTTCATTTTATGTTAATTAATATTGAAAACTGCATCACAAAGCAAGTTCTAACTTGTAATCATCAAGGCAAAAGAGAAAGAAGCATATAAAAAAAGACATTACTTCGGAAATCGGAAGTAGTCATCCAAAGAATTAATAGCACTTAGGAACAACTGGAAAGAATGGCTCAGGACGGAATACATTGGAGAACCCTAGTAGGTGGTCTATGGTCCATAAAGAGTAAGTGAGTAAATAAGCAAGTAAGTGAATCTCACTTTTTCCTTAGTAAAACATAAAAACTTTACTAAAGAGTAGTTGATACCATAATAATTTATTTCTAACTTTAATAAAAGTATATCGATTAAGTCCATGATGGAATCAATGTATTGTGTGTTCTGTTAAAAGTTAGATGAACAAATAGATATTACAGTAAACATATGGAAATATATATTAAAACTAAACAAACAGGTTATAATAATAATTCTTGCAACTGTAATACTCTATTTAAATCTCTAAGGCTACATCGTCCCACATAAAACTACAGAAAACATTGTTATAAAGCCGGAGATATATATTTTTTGTGCTATTTATCTTGCCTTTAATCTTGAAGCAACTGATGTTTTACATAGAATTTTTGAGCCATTGTAGTCACTAATTAATCATTTAAACAGCGACTAAATCCATTCAGTTATTCCAAATGGATATTATTCAATTTTTGACAGTTTAATACTTTTTTAAAAGTAATAAATAAACAAAATACTTACTTTTCATTAGTCTCCTTCTGCATTCTTCCTTATAGACAAAATCATTATTTGTAATCGGTACCATAACAGTTGAATCAGGCTGTAAATCTACTTGATTGAAATCAATAAAATTTGAATTATCAGTATAATTATTATTGTCTAATAATCTTGATTCATTTGAATGATATTTTATTGAATGCTGAAATTGTGCTTGTTCTATGCAAGATGGTATCGTTGTATCCACTTTGTTTTTACAATCATCTAAATCATCTATGGATTTTCTTGACCAATTTATATTTGATGTTTCAGATAAGCAGTTGTAATATTCAGCTTTAATTGGGCATTTATTAATATCTTCTATATCATTTACTTCATAATGTTGATATATATTAGTATTCTGTTTATTATATATGTCAAACGGTTGAACGTTGAATTCATTCATTAGGATTTGATTATTTGTTATGGAGTGTTTTGAATGTCGAAGTTTGCGTATTTAATATATCTTATAAATGTATTAAAGTATTTATTGAACTATATGAGTAGCAGTAAAAAATAACTTCGTTGCTATAATACTATTCAATTAATGAATATTATGATTTGTTTAGATCTTCAAGAACTGAAATAAATAAATACTTCCCTTTATGTTATTGTAACGGAAAACGATTTGATTGGTTGATAAATTATCAATGGAATTTGTTTTAGCCAATGGAATATTTCCGAATGAGTAGGCTTTTTTGTGAACAGATTTCTGTCATTATCTTTATGTTGGTAGTAATGTGGGAATTCAACTTAAATAAAAACGTTATTTACCAATAATAAAAAAATGTTTTGTGGAAACTAATTTGTCAGAAAGGGGTTTTGTGGATATCGTAGTAATTTTTAATAGTTGAATTCATGAGTTGAATAAAGTTAGACCACCACGGAAAACCTGCGAGCCCTGGACGGTCGTTTCGTCTTAATATGGGACTCCTCAGCAATGTGCATTCACGATCCCACATGCGGGACTCGAACCCAGTGTTTCCAGGTTTTCCACCGTTGTCTAGCTTTAATTGGCTAGTTAATTCAACTAGTAAATTTGTATTTAATTTAATTTAAAATATTATCTTAGATGCTTCAAGATAGAGCCAACATACAATACTATTAATCGCATAGACTGTACTGAAAATTAGGATTAGTGCTAAACGTTTATTGTAGACACCATTTTATAAATTGTGGATTAACTACAAGGAAATTAAAAAATGGTTGCAATTGATACTTTTATGTTAAAAACAACTGTACTTAACAATTTTTACTAACGGAAACTATTTTAGTGTAAATTATAGTTATGTCTGAGTTATTTCAGCAATCAGTAGTAGTTAAATTAAAAATAATCCTTCTATTGAATGTACAACTATGATGCATCTGACGAGTTTAGATTTTGAGGATATTTAGGGATATTTTAAATGATGATGATAATAGTCAGACAAGAGTTTTTGGCATGAATATAGATCGTTCCGTAGGAAATAAGACTGATGCAGTTAGTTTATATTTCTCTATCAAGCCTAGAACATTAGTCCCAATAGCATCTTAAATATAAAAAAGAAGAGATGACAACTGAAAAAATGAATATTTTGTCGAATTTATCGAATAGAATATGATGAGTTGGACATTGATTTCAGTTAAAAACAACGATGTTTATTTATATGAATTATAGAAATAATCACAAAAACACTGATCAGCCGACTGCAACTAAATTTGCGACGAATTTTTCTGGGTGCAAATATCACGTACATTGTAAAAGTCATTGTTCAGCATCTATGAAAGCCAATGGAAAAAATTTTTCTCCATGAATGATTCTATATGGACAAGAGAATTGAAGATCAGCAACTAATAAATTAGAACTCTTTCTGCATACATGAATGAAGTTATCTTAGAGAATTATAAACAAAAGCTTTGAATAGTGGAGTTCAGCTATGTTGGATGTGAAGCGATTATTTACCACAGGGGTGTGAAATATAGTCAGTGGATTTAAGTTATACGTTAACACAGTTTTGTGTTTGTTTGGTAATCGGGAGATTATAGGTTCGCTCGCGAAACTGAAGTTGTCGGGTCCGATGCTCAGTTGCAGGGTCGTTGATGTTCACTCTTGAGGAGTTTTACACTAGAACAAACAATTATTCGTTTATTTCAAGTTGCCTACAATGATCTAGCTAAGGTTGATTGGAGGTTTAAAAACTATGAAAGTTCTATAATCTCCAGAAATCCCACTAAACTAATAAACGAAGAAATTAATTATGAGAACGCATAATCAATTGACACCAATCGTGCTATTGAATAGAAGGGATTTCCTTCGTCTTTCGTTGTTATTTACCTAGTTGGGTAAATTTTTTCCAGGAACTTAAAGGAGTCTTAGTTAAAAATATGACAAACGGACTATAGATGTGTATGTAGGCATAAAATATATGTAGACTTTTTACTTCTTGTAATATAATGGTTTTGTTCACCAATTATCCTCTAGGTATATATATTGGATAATGGTCTTGTTTAGCCATTTTTACCATTATGTTGCCTTATTAAGTACACTTCTTGCATTTATTCTCCTTAATGGTGTTTATATTTTTAATAATTATATGTGGTTAGTTTTTTGTGACTTGTTATTCTATTTCATTTACTTATAGCGTTAATTTTATATTTAGTCACCAAGAGAATATTATTATTATTATCATTATTATTATTATTATTATTATTATTATTATTATTATTATTATTATTATCATTATTATTACTATTATTATTATTATTATTAAGGGTTAATTTTAATTAGATTTGATTACAAAACTTCCTTTTTTGAAATTTAGTTTTTAACTACTTAGAAGTAGTTACATTTAATTCGTTAAAATCTGTTGGAGATAAATTCACAATACATTGTGAAGTTGGGGGGTAGTAAATTTTGTCTGAAGGACTGCTGGAAGCGAGATAACACTGAAAATTTGTTTAGTCTTGGTTTAAGATTCTTCATTGATGCACACTGACAACCAGTATTTAAAGCTATGCTATCAACCTCTAAATTCTGATTCACTTATGCTAGTGTAAGTTCATGAAGCGACAATGAAAATAATATCGAATGACTAAATAAGCAATTTAAAAAATGGGGAAACTATGTTTGTAGTAATCTGACTAATTATATGTAAAGACAGAAAATTTGTAGACCAGCAGTTGGTAGATTATGTAATATCTATTAAGGAAGTAGAAAGATTGTTTAACCATAAAATTTCTAAGATTTACAAATTTAAGCAAAAACAACAAACAAGGACAATATAAATTTACTTATTTAGCAGATCCCCTTAAACAGCTTAAAACTTATAACAAATTTGTTTTTTTTATGAGCACTATGTTATATCCTAGCGAAGATTAATTTACGAGTAACTTCTGAGACCTATTAATGGGCTAATATTATCTATATATTCTTATGATATAACTATTCAGTAATTAGAATATGTATATCTATATTTCCCTTATTATAAGCTTCATTTTGACCTATAGATTATTGTACGATTTTCTGTTCTTAAGCTATACTCTATTATTTAATTACCGTCTTCCACGTTCACAGCCATTTGGCTTTATTTTGTATATATGTTATTTCCTATTTTATGGTGCGATGCGGTCTGCTTGGCTGTTATGTAAACCAAATATGTCTGAAATAAATGATTCGCATAATGGAAGCTGTTATCGGTGTTCTGGACTCAACTGAACGGGCTAGAGAAGCAAAGAACCAATAAGGACGCAAGGCTGATCAAACTGATTGAATGTCATTGGTTTAGTACAGTACAAGAGTGAATAAGGCGTATTTCGATTGGCGAATAAATTACATGATAATTAGCCGGACTTAAAGTCATAACACACTATATCGTATACGCTCTATACGGGTAAAGTTCTTGATTAAAATTGTTTTTGACAAGTAGATGTAGATCAGAAATTGTGACAGGATTAAAGATTAGTAGTCTGTTCATGTGTTATATGCATGAATATTCAGGAATAAAATTTTGGAAAAGTATGGACACAATGATTTTAGAAGTGAAATAAAAGTTTAATGTCATAGTTTGTGTAATACATATGTATAAAATAACGTCGACTATATAAATACAGATTAGATAAGAAGTAAGAAACTATGATTAATGTCATGCCCAAATGTTGCGTAAAAGATACTTGTAATCTAGGCCACCCATTATAAAATAGGATTAACAGTTGGATCGTTTTGACAACATAAATTTGATTTAAATCTTTTCACAGCAATTGATTTTGTAAAACTTCATGAAATCGATGTCCCTTGTTTAGCGATCATCTTGAAAGATTTTGAAACGTCATTATTATGTCCAGTGTCATTTAAATGACAAGAAACTGCACTGCTCAAAACATGTTGTTCTTTTAGTTTCAACTTTTGTGGAATATACTCAGAGATGCAAACACCAACCCTCTTTTCTGTCTTTACAACTTATTTGATTTTTCGCTTATATATAAAGTGATAAACATAATTGGAGGTAACATAAAGTGGGTTTTTTTTAGATGTAAGGGTTTTAGTGAGGGATATTTTTATAAGGAGAGGTCAACGTGGCTGCTAGAAGTTTTCTTTACGTATATTGAGATAATACGAGAGTACAAAAGTGGAAGAATTTTTGAAAAAGGTGGGAAATCAGAGTTATGTTATAACCCAATCTGAGGTGATTTATTCTGATGGTTACGGTAGAGATAGGGGCTGTCTAAACTTTACAATCCAAAGTTTCTTGATATCGATCCCAGCAATATGCAAAAGATGAACCTATAAATCACACAGTAAATTTGATTGGATGCGGCGGATCACTTAAAATTTTCTATTTAAATCGATTGATTTCTTATGTCTATCAACTGAATGAGAAAAGAAGCTTTTCAATAGCTTTAACTGCCCTTTGTTCAATCGGGAAGGACATTGTTCGTCAGAAGGATGCTCATCGTTACGATGATACACTTAGAGTTTTATACACCCTATCCAACTTGTTTCACTGTTGTAGTTAGACTAATAAAGACACATATAAATGTACTGAATCCAGATAGTTTTAACATACGTTTTTGACTGTGTACCCATCGTGTTTGTAAGTTATTGTTAATATATGAGAAATCATTTGTAATTTCTTTAGTATTCAGCAGGCGCTACATACATAGTCTTGATTCCTTATTTATCTTTTCTAGAAGTAAGTTATATAACATGGGAAATGGATATCTCTTAATAATACCGATGTTTCATGTATCTGTTGATTTTAGCATAACACCAGTAATTATATAAAATTGATCAAGTTTATCTACAAGTTAAATAAATTCATCTGTGGTGATTATGAGAATACTTTTATCGTTTGTTTTTTTCAAAAATGATCTCATATGATAGATTTCTACGACACCTCTATATTAACAGGACTGGAATAAGTGATGCAA